TTGAGGGAAATATTTAGAACGCCGTTTAGTAGATTCCGATCGGTTTAAGGAAATGTAGGCATCACGCAGCTGCACGCATTTAACTTTATCGACGAATTTTTGTTATTTCGGCTTGCGGAAATCGTCAGATTATATATTTTTCATTATTCTTGAATTATTTCCTTCAAAATAAAAAAAAAATTAGCTACGCTCGAGAATGTCGAGATGACGTTTTTTTTTTTACAACTTTGTTGCCCTCCCCTTTTTTTCCGTCACTCTCAAATTGTCAGATTAGTGGAATATACACTTTTTTAGGATGTAATTAACTCACCCTACCTTAATCTGATGCGCTCGGGAATTTCTGATGGTCAATTTTTTTTTTACTAATCTGATCCTGTCTCCTTCACAGGCGGCCTTATATATGGACCTCATGTTTTGTGGAGGTACTTAACCGAGTACAAGCTATCCCCCTGTATATTAATCTGCCGCGCTTTAGTAAATCCCGAAATCCCCTCTTGGGCTCCCCTACCATAAACAGATAATATGTTTGACATTCTGAGAGCTCTCACTACGTGTTTAGCTACATCGTTGCTCGTTCGCACCGCTAAGGAGAGAAACTTGCCCCGTGCTTCATATTCAATATAAAAATATGAGTGATATGAGAAGAGCAATTGACATTTTTAGGCAGGTGTAACTTTAGCCTGTGTTTGTACTTTATAATATGTAAAATCTGCAAGCATTTTCTTTTAAATTCTCACAAACGAACCAGTGCTACAATAAAATGAATATACAATATTTCTTCTATACAATTTATCAATAGAATTTATATCATAATTAACTAAAATTAATAAAATTTAAATTAATTAATTAAAATACACTTAGTGTATTTATTTCTATGAATTTTTCTTTCGATTATAAAAAGATGTGGTTTCCCACATTACTGAGAAATGTGTTGTGTTCTCAGTCGTTTTAAGAATGTTACCTCATTTTTTATTTGTTCACAATTAAGTTACCACAAAGAATTAGCTGGCCGTTGATAAAGTCCCGCTTTTAATAATTAAGTTAATAAATCAAGAAAGGCACACGGTTGTCAATCGTAGAGAGAAATTAATATTTAAAAATGGAACAACGGCATGCAGTCTGACCCATGGGTCAGACTCATATATACTTTGGCTTTTAGTGTGAATAAAAAAAATTCATAGCATGCAAAAAATACTTAGGATACCTTATTTATAAAAAATATTGGAGTAATTAATATTCAAGATATTAATTAATCAGAACAATCTACCAGTAAGTCTCTAAGAAAACTATAAGCAAAAATAAATAAGAATATTACCGTTGAACGTTATCTAAATGAAAATGAAAATGAAAATGTAGGGTACATTTTAAATTTTTAAAGAATATTTTTTTTTTATTAATAACAAAAATACAGTCAATCTAACAGTCATTACATAAATATAGCATCTATATATAATAGTAAAACAAAAAATAGTATAAGAAAACACACACAACCATCACTTACAATATGAAATAAAAGAAAAAGCATTACTTATGCAAATATTCATTTCCGCCAAGTTCTGGAATGTACTGGCTATCGACATAGCAATTTATTGGTACGGTTTAAATAACTAATGATCTTGAAAATTGAAATCTCGATTACTTAACGAATGATTTAGGGAGAATACGAAAATTTAAATCTTTATCAAATACTTCTAGGAACCATACTTACCATACGATATTTTTATATTGAAAATATGAAGCACGGGGCAAGTCCTTAGCGGTGCGAAAGAGCAACGATGTAGCTAAACACGTAGTGCGAGCCCTCATAATGTCAAACATATTATCTGTTTGACATTCCACCTGAACCACGCTGTGTGCCTGGATGTCCGATGATGAAAAGGTGATGATGGTGGTGTGCTTATCGTGACTTATCGTTTCAACCTTAAATAATAAAAAGTACGGCTTTTGGTGTAAATGCTTTTTATAACAGAACTAGTCAAACAAGTAGAAACTCAGAGCCCAACAATTTATATCGGTAACCAATCTGTTCGTAAAGTTTCAATGCATATTTTTCAGAAAACTCTTCATAAACTTTGATAGAAACAACCTATCGACAAAGTTCTTCATCATTGCGATCGTTTGGCTGTTCAATTTTTTTATCTCAACAATCGCTGATAGAGCCCTTTTAAAGGTATTTAGACTTGCACTTAGAGATATAATATTACAATGAATATAAGAATTGACTATATTGGTATGTATATAATTTCTATGTAAAATTCCTTGAAGACAAATTTTCAAGCCATTATATGTGTGGCAGAATATTTGTACTTTAGATTGTACCAGTATAACATTTTTGTACCATATTCTTGCAAATAAATTAGTTAAATTAGTTATGCCGAGTTTCATATTCAATTCGAAATAGTTCCGAATATTATAGTTTTTTACAACCTATTGATGGCTGTATCAATTTATTGATATTTTTTTAGGCAGGTTTCCCTTCACACACATTTGAAACTGTGGACATCGAAATAAAAATCCAATGGTGTAAATCCGTGATTCCGTTCTCCGATATCGGTGTTTTGTGGAAGACGAAATATTTGCCCATTTAGTTTTTTTCAGAATTCATCCGTTATGCTTATTGTTATTGAAATTCGGAAAATCAATTAAAACATAAGATGGTTTATATTACAGCTATTTAAAATTACTTTTCTTTGGAGGACGCTATCAACGCTGTTTATTGTGATTGTGTTATTATTTACTTCATACACCACGACGACGTTCTATCAAATATTGGACTTGACAGAGCCAAAGAAAAAATACGTGAGTAAATTTATTTGAACATTTGTTTAAAATATCAATTTTGCATGCTAATATGTAGATGACACGTTAGCTTTTGTACAAATAAATCAGAACGTGCAGTGTTGCTAACCTATTATTATCTAGTTTTATTTGCTATATATATTTAGTAACGCGTTTCGTTGTGTTAAAAATCTTTATGAAACGTACGTGCCCCGTTCTGGTCATCCAACAAACTTTTTACGAACGAATTTATATATGTATAATATTAACTATTACAAATACACATACTTGCAAACAGTGTCATTTATAAAACATACTAATAGGCCACCGCATTTACCACGGCACTACCAATTATACCAATTAATCTCAGTATTAAACCAATTCATTATATATTTTCAAACATACGTGTTTCCTTACTTTTTAGCACATCTGTATAAGCTCTCCACATCTCAGCTGTCATAATGACTAAATATTATATTCGGGTTAAGTTCTATAAATTGTTTAAATTCAATATTTGATTATGGCCCTTATTGTTAGTATTTACAAGAAAGATATTTAGTAAATTGGTTTGATTTATTATCACAAACTTAAAATATATACACTATTATTTGAAGTTTGTGATAAGATAAAAACGTTACAATTGTAATTGAATAAAATTATTAACTCGTTCCACTACAAAGGACCTACCGTACATACCTGTTATGAACAGAGGCTTAGAGATTCGTATTTCTTAAAAGTCATGTTTCTCCCATATAATCTTAGACTAAATACATAAGCTAAGACTTGCATAAAATTTAATACTTTATAGTTACTTATTGCAATTTAATATCAAGCGTAGGCGAAGACTGGCTCATAGTTTACGCTGTCATAAAACAAGGTAACCTTAACCTTGTAACTAGATTTTTATTAAGTTTTGTCTAGCTACGAGAATATTTATTTTAAATTCCTTTGAAGCTTTTCACAGCGGAAAATGCTTTTATTAAAATGTCTTTAGACTTAATCTAGCAAACTATATTACCTTTGAGTCGAGATTTTTGTACAAGCCTTATCCTTCGTGAAAAATACTAAATACCATGTTTGATTTTTATTAGTTGGTTTTACATATAGAAGTATAATAAATTCAATGATTTCAATACATATATGTATACCCCAAAGTCATTTATTAGACATGTTAATTATTATAATATTATAGTGAATATATTAATTCAATTTATTTGACCTACAATTTATATGTTTTATTAAATATTCGATGGAGTGAATAATTGTATGTATGTTGTATACATTAAATTATATAATTAATTATACATTGATCTGTTACATTTATGAACATGTATTACAATAAATTTAACACTAGCCGAACCAAGCTATTTTTTATTAGTTATTTTTTTGTTATTTTTTTAAATATTAACTCGATTGAAGTGATGTGGCACTTAAAATAAAGCTCTTTATGACAATCCTTTAGACATCTAATAATTCTATAAAATCTTGAGTTCTATAAATTCAAATATTGAGTGTTTAAATGTATTGATAATTATTAATTAGATTAAGATATTTCAAGATGTTGTTAAGTAATTTATTAAACCATAAATGTTAGATAGCTTTCTCTTACCTTCCTTTCTTCGATATTGATGTCCACTCTTTAGAATACTAGATGAATGCTAGAGCGATGAGAATGGTTGGTAGAAATTGAAAACTTTTAAGGCCTCGCTTAACATATTTATAAGGCTTTTAAAAAGGTTCTCTTGATGCCTATGAAAATAATAGATATATATCATTGATCAATTATTTAAAACCCGACTGTAGATTGGCTTCCGCTTAAATTCATAATATTGCGAAATAATAATTTCTATCAAGAGCTAGGATCGTGTTACTTAGACTTAGTAAAATATAAGTACGGCGCATTGATCGCAGGTAATATTTTTATTGAATATGAAATGCCTACAACCCCGATTTATTAATAGTTTAAGCAGATGATGATTAAACTTAAGGAGAAAGGAATTTGTGTGAACGTTGAAGGTAAAGATAGTCTCGTTAGGTTTGTCTTCTGCTGTGCCAATTGCAGCAACTCTTCCGCAGTTGCAATACCCGTCTTCCTTCCTTCTACCAACACCCCGTATATCCTGGATTTTACCCATTGTAATTAATTAAAGAAAGTGGTAGCGGTCGAGGCTTAACACGTGGCCCAGGTGACTTTAAAAATATGCGTCCTTATTGTGGGGAAGATGGTAAAATTCTCGTTACCATGGAAACATGGTTTATTGTATACAGTAATAAAAAATACTTCTCTTAAGATGGTGTTAGAAAATCCCATCCTGTCAATGAAGTGTTGTTAACATAGTTCACACACGTGGTCTTGCGTTCAATATGCAGTAATTAGAATATCGGGTTGTAAAGTCAAGGTTAGCACAAAGTTGAAAGCTCCATTACATGATACTGATGGAGTTTCAAACTAAACGTTGGTTGCCTATATATAGCGTAACCTCTATAGCAAGCTTATTTAATTAGTTCGACAGCAACTTCGTACGAGGAATATAACGTATTTCTCAGTCTGTTAAAATGTTCTTGTCAAGAAATTAATAGCCACAGGATAGTGCGATGTGGTTGCTGCCGCTATGATGGCTTATCTCATCTAAGATTGTATTTATTGTACTTATTTATTGGAGTTGTTTTAGTTATTATTATTAATAAGGGAATTTATTCGGATTTAGCACAAGCTATGTCAGCCTGTATTTAGGACTCAAGCTTTTTATAAATAAACACCTTCTCAACTCTGCTATGTGTAGCCATTTGTGTGATTGTGTTATTAATTTTTTATCTTCTAAATTGGCACGTTTTAGCCATCAAAAACTCCACCACCGATTCGCTTATAATGAGCATAGAAAGGATTGTCTCAAGTGACCAGTTTCCAATATAACAACTATAATTTATATGGAGAATATATTAATACGGGATTATATTCTAGATGTTCCTTTCCACTACTAATTAACCACAAATCGGGTAAATTGGTAGCGGCATTAGAAGCGATGTCGTAATGTATGTGTGTTAATGTAATTTGTGTGGGATGGCTTAGACCTACACCAGAAAAAAAATATGTTTAAAATTAACTAATACTGGCTTCGTCTCTCACCGCCACCGTCTCAGCGGTAAACATTCACTGAGAACATATTTAAGTCAATCTGTTTAATGGCCGTTTCCGTACTTGATACATTCACACTACGGCCATATTCATGGTCTCCTATAAAATAATCTATAATAAGTTTAATGAAGAGAGAATCGTGGAACCGTTATAATTAAATGGTGTTTTGTTAACCCGTATTAATTAACTTTTATGATAAATTCAGTACAAAGTAATTGAAATGAGACCACGTAATTACTCACCGGATTACTGTATCAAAATTAAATAAACTTCAGGAGTGTTGGACAAGTATTCATTAATTAAAACATTAATTATTATACTCAATTTATTGAATTTATTATTTTTGTTATTTACTAATTCAAGGTTATGTTTCTAGCTATTTATAATTATTTGTTAGGTTATTTTAATGTTACTTGTACAAAAAACATGACTTCACACACCTTTAAAAGCTGGGTGAAGTCATAACCCATTAGTAGCATCACCATGCAAATACATTTATGTTACTGTTATGGGTACATTTTAACCGTAGGTAGGTAACCGTTCCTGTATCGCCAGTTCGCACTCAGGGCCTTTAAGCTCTCTAATAAGAACGAATTCTTATTCTCGTATGAATAAACATGAATGCTGTGTGTCTCCCATTATCTTCAACGGATAGCAAACATTTCGCGCTAGATTGCTTCTAAATAGAGAAATTCATAAGTGGGTAATGATTGCTTCAAATTGAAATAAATTTTTCAGTAATGGAATAAAAACCAATCAGAAAAGCATTGACATGAAAGTCGAAGTAATTTAAAATAAACATTTTGATTTCAGCCGTCATCGTTGAGTAGAGCGAACGAAATATTCGGCGTAGGTTTAATTGGAGTTTATGATTTTGGTACGATGTCCCCATTTACTATGATTGATACGACAGTTGTAATTTTCACTGTTGTCACTACAGCGATTGCGTTCGCTAGATCGCTTATAGTAAGATCGCTTTATGCAGCACTTTCTGGCTGCATTGAAATCAAGATAGCTGTTACGCCCCATTATTTACTCTTCGTTATAATACCGCTGAGCGTCGAATTTATAGATCTACATAAACTATATGTGTTCTACGTGTATTTGAACTTGACCGTGGCTCTTGTGCCGGGGCTGGTATGTTATTCAATATTATTAAATTGTGTAGTTACAGATAATATATTTCCCATAATTGCTGTTGGTATATTTGCGTTTTTAAGTCTAAAATGAAAAACGAACTATGAATTATTGAATATAGTCATTCTTAGAGCCGTGTAAGTGTTAACGGCAACTTATACTATTCAGTAAAGGTAAGATTATTTATCATCCAATCAAATGCACTTGTGGTGTTGCACTTTCCTATGTTTTCTTTTTAATAGTTAGCTATTGATTAGCTAATTAAATTTCATAGGGAAATTAAAAGTAGTGAATTATTTTTTGAAGAACACAAACAAACATTAAATTAACAATTAAAATAATCAATTAAATTATTTGTAAAATATGTGGCTAAGTGCAGAACTCGAAGACGTCTGGACCAATTCGAGTGTTTTACTTTATTCCTTGAACTCCGTTTTAAAAAAGAGAAAGTATTGAAAAATAAAATAGTTTTTTTTAGTATTTTGGTTTCTATTCTGGAAAACCGAACAATCTGTATGAGGTAGCTTAGCAAAATGTTCTTAGTAAAACTAATCATATTAAGGCGGAACGAAGTCTGCTGGGGCAGCTAGTTTTTAAATTAAAACAAATCCCGTTTCATGTTCATTGACTATGTTTTTGTTTCAATAGAAGCAAGTATTAATTTTTTTATCAATCTTGAATCGTTTAATTACCGTCTTTAATGGTTGATTCTTATACAACTCATTTCTGATTGTCTTATAATTAGCTAAATTTGAAAACCTCAAAGATAATAAATATTATATATTTTTTTCAGGCTATACTGACTTTAACCATATCGAAATTACTTCACAATGAATTCCGATCCGTAAAGTATATTTACATTATTGGAATATCGTGCTTTATGGGGTTTGCGCTATCCTTGCCTTTGACCGTGGTAAGCGTTTTTTCTTCTATTATATACGAATTTCAATTTTTCAGGTTTAGAATATTTTTTTTAAAGCGATAAAACCATTATTAACTTTTTGTAGAAATCGTATTTTTATCGCAATTTTATATATAGTCGGCGTTAATATTTCAGAAGACGCCAATCTTAATTTCAAATATATAACTGTTACTGAAGAGCACTCGAAATATCAAATCTATTTAGAGTACATTAATGTAAATACATTTCAGATAGAGGGCATCTTAACACAGTGTTTAAGTTTAGAGTAACATTTTTCTTAGTCAAAATCAGCAATCTTGTACTTTGGGATATAAAATTCATATTTAAGACAAAAATTCTAGAACAGTAGCTGCATTTGAACATAGATTAACCCTTGTTTAATCCATGAATCTCGTTTAAGCCATGATTAAGAGCATTATTAATCTACGTTGAAACTTTTTAATTACATTGTATAAAAAATATTGTTAGCTTCTGCTAATTCCGCGGATTTTTGTATTATACAAAGAAAACAGTACGATGTATGGACTTAGGGAATCTTGTTAAAATAATTGGATTTTCTTTTCTCTAAACGTAACTATTAAAGGATTACAATAAAACTTAACTTTAAAGCTAAAAGCAACGCTGCGTAACATGCAAAATATACACAAAAATTGAAATAACAAATTAAAAATAACGTTGCTGAGTTTATTCCTCGAATTCATAAAAGCTCTCCACCTTTTCTACCTGATTTTTATAAATGCAATTATTTTGATTTAGTTTTAGAGGATAAATGTTGTATTAAGTACGTTATTTTAACATCATTAAACAATAGTTAATAAAGTGTTTAATTCTTGGGAGAAACAAAAGTTATACATACGGGGTAGATGTATGGGCTGCCAAATTGATTAAGCTTTCAATAGAAACTATAATCTATAAATATTTTGTTTCACGATAAATGATCAGAGTCTAGTTATGTTAATCGTTTCGTGACATAAACCTTTTATCTTGGGCTATGAAAAATTGTGTGCTAGCAATGGCGAAGTCAGGGTCAGTTCATTTCCTAGGATATCGATAATTTCCATTGAAGCACTATTCAACTCGGTTTCTCTCTTTATAGACGCATTTCTTTTAAATTTTCTGAAGTGCAAGTCTTAATGCTATTAAAATGACGCTGATTTTTATCAATTTCTACTTACATTTTTTAGCTTTTCATAAGTGCTAGGTTAATGCTTAATGTACATTTTTAAATCTTTTCAAAATATATGTATGTAACAAAAATAATGGAATTTATTTAATGTATATAAAATAATAATAAGTCCTGGTTTCTATATCAAAATATCAGCGTCCAGTAGTAGCTTTTAAAAAATGCCAAAATTACTTTTAAATTTAACAGCCGTTTGATTATAAAATGAATATATACTTTTTAATTTCAGATGCCAATAAATAAACTTAATGGGTTGATGATTGGCCATAAGTTCAGTTCTTTGTACTTAGGCGGTTTCAAAGCTTTGATTGTCATGTGGATGTATGGAGTGAAGAAATTTTCAGCAGATATACAATTTTGGCTAGGCTTTAAGCCAACTGTGTACTGGAGAACTGTTTGGATGCTTTTACCTGTAACATTTTGCGTAAGAGTTATTTTATTCATGTTTTAGTTCCAAAAAGCTAGAGACAGAACATATGTGCACACATTGTTCAATATCTCTCGCATAGATTGCTGGTCTCAAAAGCTTTACCGACAAAATCAGTTTCGAGAACTGATGCAACAATACGATTTTAGAAGAAATTCACGGTCAACGTGGACAATGCTTCAAAGCGTTGATACATTTCCTTTAACAAAAGTGGACGGTAGCGTATTTTATTTCTAGTGATTTCTCCTCAAAAGGAAGGTGAACAGGAAAATAAAGGTCACGGGTCTTTAATAAAGTTATGTTGTACAAGTACCTCAGGTTTTACTAGTTTATACATTGATTCTCTTACGTTTATACATAAGGGGAATATTTAATGACTCTTACCATTGAAGTGTAATTGATTGATTGAATTTTAAAATAGAAACCAATCAGTGCGTGTCTGTTGATGTTATTGTACAAATTTTCTATACATTACCCCGTCTTCTGTAACATTTTCTAAATAGTAAGTAGGTCTATATGACTCAGTCAAGGTTTTACATGCATATTGTTTACAAGTACAACCTTTGGCTCAATCAGTGGCAATACGTGTATTTTGATTTACTAACTTTAAGAATATGTTGTGTTATTTTTTAATTAAAATTTTCTTTCCATAATCATTATGTTTGTCACGCCGTCTCCCGTATACATTTCACACCTAAAAGGTATGTTATTCATTTCAAATGCACATCTTCGGCTCACTGAGTTATTGATTTGACGTGTAGTTCTTAAGATTCAGTCATTTTGTAATATTCATAAAAACCTTACACAAAACATCAATACTGATTGAATTTGTACAACAACAATTTTAAAATTTTCATTTATACTGTTGGCTTCGTCAATTATTGTATAGTATTATTTCTATAACACTAATTTTCTAAAAATTTTCATTTATGTTTATTAAATTTTTTTCAAATTTTTTTTGAACAAACATAATAAAAATGTATCTAAGGTCATCCTCGAACTTTTTCTGTGCTTTAATACTCCAGCTTTACTAATAGTCAGTCGAATCCATTTTGGTTCACATAATTTACACACAGTTACAGGCAATTCAATTACAAATGTATTAACACAAACAATTCTATTGAATGAATAATTCGATTCAATAGAGGGATTGCGAATCAATTTACTCAATAATTCTTGTTATCAGTGCATTTCTGTGTTTATATCAAAGGTAAATGTCATAGTTAAGATCAATTATTCAGGTATTCTCAGCGTTTGTTGATCAAAAGCTTCGTTCTGTATTCTGATTTAGATTGTTTATTGGATAGCACTACACTTAACTAACGTAGGTACGCTTCTAATTAGAGTACTGAAGTATTTCCGAACCAATTCGACTAAGCGCGATCCCAATAATCAATCCATACTCTCAGATTGTTTTCAATCAGACTGTGACAGTCGATCGATCTCCTATCTGCATTCCAATAACCAAACCCTACGTAGACAATCCATTTTTGGCGACGGATAAAATGCTCTTTGTCGTTCCATTTTACCGAGTGTTCCGAAAATAAAACCGTACAATTAACATTAAAAAATACATGTGTATGTTTAAAACATAACAAACAGTTTTTTTAATTATTTAAAAAACTTGTGTAAGTTAAAATCTGTTAAAATAATTAACTGTTGAAATCGAGCTTTCGTCAACTGTCATTTTCATAGAAGGGTCTATCCACAGACACCGATACGACCTCCAATGGATAGCTTGTATCGACAGATAGCTATTACAATCCGTCGATTGGTTATTGGCACACTTGTTACAACTTTTGAATTAAGATTACTATCTCAGATGGTGGATTATGGATTGAGATAGGTTATTCGGCCGTTAGGGTTCTTCAAGAAAAGAACGTACTAATTCTTAAAAGGTGAAGCGCTTGTGAACCTTCTGGCAGTGTTAGTGTTCATGGGCGGGGCGGTATCACTTAACATCAGATGAGCCTCCTGTAACATAAAAAAAAAAGTTTCACATGTAACCGTCTGTTTTTTGATAGGCCTGATATTTTTTCTGTGGCTGTAAAGTAAATTTTAAAATATCGTGAAAATAACAAACTTTGTGGATTAGCTCCCGAAATTCATAACTGCACGCTTAAACATGGATTGCCAGATGATATTATTTATAAAATTCAGCTTTAACGGCATATAAATATGCATATATTTTCTTTGCACTCATATTATGAACTATAAGCAACTGCATTTAAGTGTGTACTTAAGCCTGAGATAGATCTTCACATTCTAAAGTATAACTTCAAGATGCGGCTCAACAGTTGAATGATTCGAGTGGTGCCAACACTTTTTACGACTCTATAAAAGAGGTTTATAATATGTGTGTATGTTTAACAGATTTCCTTGTAAATAATCTGCGATTTTTAATAATCTTTTATCAAGCATTTTCTATTGTGTATTGTATAAAAAATAACAAAAAAATAGTATGATTATGTGTTTGTCATTCATTCACCATTAACCCAGTCAATTTAACAACAGAGCGTGCTCACTCACCCACTCACGCGTAAGTGAGCCTTCCACCCGGATGACGACGCGTTTGCTTGTGATTGGTCAACCAAGTTTCTAATCCAATCACAGGCAAGCGATTCGTACTTCCGTTAGACCAATAATAATTGCGAATCATGTCAGCTTTTGTTTATCCTTCTTTTAGCCATACTATCCCAAATTAAAAGGTCATTTGTTGAACGAATAACTTTACTTACAGGTACTGATTGTAAATAAAATTAACGAGCTAAGCAAATTAAATGATTTACAACAACAAATTTTAGCAATTGTTTGGGTTGGATTTTCGTTTTTAATTGTTGCTGTATTTCAAATTAAAACGATTGCAAGATATATTTTACAAAGCGTAAGTATTTAATTATTCTACCTACATTTCTTTTGGCGTTACCTTTTCATATTTCGTTTTATACATTTTTTTTTATGGCTCTGGCACGGTTTGTGCATTAGCCAGCGTCAAGTATAAGATTTTTATAATTCGTGCTTTTTGCCTTAGAAATTCGACCATGTCCTCCATGTACGGTTTAGGCACTCTCGCCCGGTACCGCACAACCCTCCCAAAGGCCGAGAACAAATTTAAATTAAATTAAAACTTGCCCTCGAACCGGGAGTCGAACCCGGTACCCCTCACCTAGCTGCCACTTAATAAGACCGCTAGGCTATGAGGCCCCTCGTTTTATACCTGCATCGGTATTAGTTCAAATTTGGAATTGTCTTCGTTCCAGGATATAAATAATAATTTCTAAAATTCACATTCCAATACAATTCCTAAAATATATCTGTATTTGAATATTAAGATACTGTTCATTTTTAGAATTTATTGGGTATATTGCGCAGCAGTACAAAATATGGCCCAATCGATCCCGATGACCGGAAACGAAGGAAATGTTTTGACGAGACAATTACGAGCCGTCAATGCAGACATAACTGTATAATGTTATCCGTGAGTTGAATGTTAATGATAATAAATCATGTAACGTTACACATCTTTATACTGGCATTGGATTGCATTTGATTCTTTTATCATAGAAAAGAATGGTGATCCGTATTCTGTGTCAGACACGGTTTTTTGTCGCAAAGGCAATGTCTCAGAGAGTGAGGCTTAAACAGTTACAGGCCAATTAATTCATGTAAAGTGTATGCCTATCACTTCGAGATAATGTAGCGGTGATTTTTTTAAATCGGTCCTGTAAAGTTTATGTTTATTCGATACAAAATACAAATTTCGCTTAATAATAGAGTGAAACATTACCGTAACGGTAAGGCTAAGGTCATTTTTAATTAAGCCGAAATTAGAAAATTTTTGCTAGTCTAGTTTTGCTTCTTCAGTTACATTCTAATTACACAATATACCATTAGGACTTTAACGAACGTCTTAGAGCGCTAAAAGCTCGACATTATACACAAGGAACATCCTTTGTTTACATTTCCACGTGTATCTCGTACATGACGGTTGTGGCACAAGGTGAAAGGAGTATCTTATTACACAGTATTGAATAGCCGCTCACGATAACCCGATGCGCTTGTAGTATAAATTCAATATAGGTACTATCTAGATTTAGGATTAGGATAGACTAGTAGCAGGATTAAGTTTTCTAAGGCTACACGGACCTTGTGTTCGAGGAAATCTGACTTAATTATTCAAATTTATCTACTTACGTGTCGTATATTAAATTTTATGAAGAAATCTATATGAAGCTTTTATGAAACCCGAATACCTATTTGATGTTGTCCAATATGTTATTACTTTGCAAATATAAATGAAATAAAAATTTTGAACCAATTGAGGTTTTTAAATAAACGTTGATTCCATTTTGTTTATTTCAGTTTATTAAATGTTGTTATAAATTTTTTTCAGGAAAAATTTGAATGTAATCATTTACCGTTGATATTCAAGCGTCAATCAAAAACAAGCAATGAGTCGTCTCTCAGGCATATATTCGACGCCGGCGCAACAAGAAACAGGCCCTCAAGTGTGGTTGATATTTCGTATAATAACTATAATTAATATTATATATTTTTAAAATTAAATTGACTAAATATTTATCGTGTTTGGTATGCCTTCATCTATAACGTGCAATATTGTTTACTTTAACCGTTTTTGTTGTTAATGTTAACTCGTTTCTGGTGAATTTATATAATATACCCAATAAAATATACTTTTTATATCATGCTCCATTTTAGTCATGGATTTTCTTACATATTATTTTGGTTACCATTACCATACCATTACGCCTTTTAAAAATTCAATCATCAGACAGAATACCAGACGTGTTCTTGACTGTGATAGATTATCCATAAAAAATTGAGAAAGTTGCTAAATATCGGTAACAATGTGTTCGTATAGAAGTCAGCATCATGCCGTATATGGACCTAGAGTATTCGACATGCGATTCTTATTAGACGTAGGTTCGAACCCGGCTGGGCACCAATGGATTTTCTATGTGTGTATTTATGACGCGTACGGGTAAGGAAAACATACTGAGGAAAGTCATCACTTAGATTCAAAAAGACGACGGCAGGTGACAGACAAAGAAGGCTGTCGATAAGATAAAACAAATGAACACGAAACAGATACAGAAATCTGCGGCCCAGATCCAAAAAGGTTTTAGCGCCACTGGTATTTTTCAAAAGGTACTTTAAGCATCTTATTAACGAGAAAGTACATTTTCTTCTGTACTCAATATCGAAGAGAGATTAATACTTAACATTGAAGTTGTTTCAAAGTACTGAGGCGTCGTAATTTATCAGGGTATAATAGACTTTTGTTGCTTTAAAAGTTCTGGTAGGAAACTAACAAAGTTGCAATTAAACTAACAATTTTATTATTATTTCAAACATATTTTAACTACTATACTATTCAAAAGAGAAAGAAGACTTTATTGCTACTTCTTCTCATCCATTCTAAGCCCCTGAATTCAGAACTACTGTCACTGTCACTATCAAAGGTAAAAAAGTGAAAAAGTAGATCTTAAACGAGAAACTAAAATACTAAGAAACTGCGGCTGTTACAAACACTGTATTAGCTAAATGGAAAACCGTAACGGTTCCTTGAAGGAAATCTGAAAAGAGGAATTTCCCTTCACCTAAAGAAAATTGTCTTTGATACCTGTATCTTAGCTAATCTCACATACGGCTGCCAAAGGTCTGGCTGTCAGAAAGCAATTATATGATAGGTAATAAAAAAATAGAAGAATCCAACAAGCAGAGAACCAAACAACAAGAGAAGAGGGCACCCTAGAAAATGGCATATAGAATATAAAGAAGCGATATCAGGAAGGGAATGGAGAAAGTGAGCCATAGATTGAGAGATTTGAAAAAACGCTGGAACTCTGGCTTTTACCCGACAAGGGGTTTCAATCAATAGTCCTGAAGGAAGATTTATTAATGTAAATTGCATATTGTAAAATATAATTGATTATAAATATTAAGTCTATTTTTAGATTTTTGTATCTGTATGAATAAATTATATTTGATTTGATTCAATTTTGGATCGATCAGACGTTTCCTATCGCCGAATAATTAAACGTATAGAAAATTAATTATTTATATCTATCTGAATATTATATATAACTAGCTGACCCGGCAAACGTTGTTTTGCCATGTATATTATTTCTAGGAAACATTGTTTTAGTTTAATAAAAATAACTATCTACTATACTAAAAATAGGGGTTGATCGTAGAGGGCAAATTTTGAAAATTTAGTGTTGTATGTATTTTTTGATGCCACATAATAAAAAATTGTTTAACCAAAAACTGAAAATATTTGGGTCATCACATCTTAGGGGGTTGAAAGATAGATAGTAGCCGATTCTGAAACTTACTGAATATGCATAAAAAAATTCATTAGAATCGGTCGAATCGCCGTTTCGGAGGATTATGGGAATGAACATTGTGACACGAGAATTTTATATATTAGATTATTTGCACAGTCCAAAATGAGTTAGAAGTATCCAATCAATCGTTTCTCCCAGCTCCTTTTATAAAATTCACCTCAGCTGTTTATTAATGCTGTCTTAGACTTATAATCACAAAAGCCCTTTATTATAGTAGACTTTCTCGTATTCGTCCAGTGCTTAAACATTTTCGATAGCGATATCTCAAACTGCAGTTTAACCTCCCCATGGGACCTTGGTATATCACAAATTCGTTCACTCCCTACACACACACACACAGCCCACTAGGAATGTAGAAATAACCAATTCATACAAAATTTTCAGATACTCCTTACCTCCTTTTGGTAAATAAAACATATTTAAATCTAAGTCTAAATTTGGAACACTGTATAAACACGACGTTCCACATTTGCTCTCCTTAATTCTAATTATTTTGTATCTCACGGAGAGAGGTTTAATGAGTTTGATATAGGTTGATGATACGTAACTTATTTTCAAGTAAGTATATTTATGATAAAATTTAAAATTATTTTCTATAATTAGTTGGTTTTCGAAAATCTCGGGCTTCACAATTGGTAAGAAGAAGGTTTGCACATTTTGCCTATTTATTTATTTAGTTATAACTATTTAAATAACTTTATAATTTTCTTTAACCTATAATTATCTTTGACAATTATTATTAGGTTTGTTATAGTACATGTAAAGTGTTACATGTTTTACTGAAAAGGGTCCCCAAATCTTACTACAAATTAGTTATAACAAATAAACATTTTTTAATTTATATCTAATGATAATAATAAGAAGCTTATAAATCAACATATTATATTTGTTAAATAAAATGTATATTCCATGTACAATAATCCTATTTATATAGACATAATATAATGTTCAAAGTTACATGATAAAACAAACGTAGTAATGTTTTTGTAATATGTATAATGTTTTTTGAGTTAATATCGAGTGTTAAAGTCCCATAGAGTTTATAGCAAGGGTGCAATTATTGTATTAAATACAATTTGTAAATTGTAGTTGCCTTGTTTTTTAATTGAAATAATTTTTGTATCTGGAAGCGAAAACAAATCTATCAATAACATTATTATCTTTATTGTATTTTTGACAAGAACTACGTGATTGAACTAATCAATTCAAGTTAACATACTTTTGAATAACCATTTTTTCACACATACAAAATATGAAATGTATTCAAAATGGAGTCTCGCTACTGTTATATTTATGATTCGGCATTACGTACCAACTTTAAATATTTAAATCGAGACGAGAGCTTTGACCAAACAACACAACACTGCTGATTGTTTTCGCAGAAGAAAGAGACGCATATATGCTACAACTTCCGCCCACAACACTGCTATTTGGAGCTGCACTGGGAATTTATAAGCGAAACCTTATGTTAAGCCTATTGACTTGTGTGTAAACCTGCAACCTGTCATAAAGACAGAACATACATTTCTGAATCTGCTTAATTTAAGTTTTTGGTTGTTTCAAACTGTTAAGTCTAAACTGTTGAAATTATTTGACGATTATGATCCAAATAATCTACATATTTTATTTATTGTAAGTACTCAAAATATTATAATTGTAGGCCTACAAAAAATACAATTATTTAAAATTGTATTATTTTTGTAAAATGTATTCGACAGAATATTTAATTGAATTTCAAACTGAAAATAGATACTTTTCACGCAACGGTTTCTTGCAAGTTGCAAGAACGCGGCGTTTAAGTATCAGTGCGGCCTCAGTACTAGTGTAGTGAGTAGTAGTGAGGTCAAAAAGAACCCAGGGGCTCATAGTATATATTAATTATAAATGCAATAGATTAAAAATTCTAATACAATTTTATTGCCGATATGAATAAAATTCATTACAATTACAATATAAAAGTGAAAACATTCACCGGTTCTGATAAAACAATAATAGTATTCGGAGTAAAAGATCCAATTTCATTTTTTATTGCCTGGTTGTACTATGAATATATAAATAAAATATGCAAATGCTAATGTTTTATTAATTATAAAAAAAAAGGTTTTCGAACGGACATCGGACAACGGACTCGTAAAAATAAAATCATAAATACAGACCTAAATATCAATACTTATTACTAAAAATAAAGAATTCTGACCAACTATAAATACGGGGTGGTCATAAAGTCGTGGATGAAACGCAAATAGGGGATAGATGAGGTCATCAGCTGCAAAAAAATGTTCTGCGGGAGGTCTCTAAGCTCAACCCCTGCAGAGTTATACTTTATTTTGCGTTTTTATACGAAAATTGACTTTTTTTTACTAATTCTTATTAAAATTCGAAAATATCTACAACTCTGTATCTTTTTCATAATATCCACTAGATTGGTTCTGATGAGTTCTTGCGTTAGACATACTATTTATACGATATAAAAAAATATCAAATATTAGGGATTCTGAAAAGGTATTGCACATGGCCATGAGTCGCTCTAATATATTTCTAGGACGAAAAAACAAAATAAATTATAACTCTGCAGGGGTTGAGCTTAGAGACCACCCGTAGAACAATTTTTTGCAGCCGATGACCTCATCTACCCCCTATTTGCGTTTGATCCACGACTTTTTGGCCACCCTGTATATGGTTTAAAAGGCAGGTGCAAAATGATAATTTATTGTAACTTTGTCAAAGAGAATCTGCAAAACACTGAGTATCACATCTCAGTTGAACTTGACCGTCGGTTAGTTCTAGGAACTAAACAATAATATCACAAATAATGTGTAGTTTAATTTTTTACTTTTTTCGTCGTTAACAAGAAATATTTAATGTTTTCCCGGTAACTTTATAGTGAAATTTCCTGATGCAACATCGTATGACCTTTCATATTAACCATTGCATCCACGCAGCCACAATGTTATTATAACTATAATTTGATCTGAATGCTTTTCCGAGCTTCAACTAAAATTTCTTGACAGTAAAATTTATTCCCTGTATTGTATATGGTGAATGCTAAAGAATATCAATTATCTTGAAATAAACTTGGTAGTTAATGTTTCAGTACTAATGTGATTTTAAAAGGAAGAATGCAAATGTCACTCCTTAAATGGTATTTTAAATCGAAGGCTGAATCCAGGCG